GCATGCTGGAAGACCCCATCTAATTTCACCACATGCTACCTCACCGATGTTCTACAAAAGGACTCTGCACATGGCAGAGCAGTCCTAACATCGGCTACATCGATGCCGAAGGGTTCCTCATCAAAGCGGCCCTCCGCTGGAACGACATAACTCCATTAGGGATGGGATCAGAAACACAGAGACCGTTCGCACGTGTTTGCACACATTCCCTTCCATTCTGCATGCCCTCCCATTCACCCCCGTTCCGAAGGGCACTTCGGAATGAGTTCCTGATCATTCTCTTGCATGAGTGATTCAGAGAGTATTGTTATGTTAATTGGCCATCCCTGTGTGTGCGAGAACAGCAGCATCACAACAAAGATGTAAAGAACATGCATACCAGCTGTTCTTGAGTCTGTTGGCTAAATGAGTGTCGACAGCAACTGAAAACCAGTGAGTGCAAGTAACCCTATCTAGTTTATACATGACATTTTATGTGGCCTGCATCCCATGAAAACAAATAAAACGCCTGGTGCAAGTGATTCTGAATGCTATATTTTTATACTTTATTAAAGTATTGGTTGAATAAAGATTAAAAATGTACATTCAAATGATGTGGCAATAAACAACATTATGTGCTATCTACTACTTTTTACAGGAAAAACCGACACACCGTATCCACAGATGGCCAGATGGTGCTGGGGCTTCCTAGGACAAAATGTCAGAGTGCCCCTTCCTTCCTGTGCACTCCATAAAATCCGGGAAAAGTACCCTTCCGATGAGTACAGAAGTTTTCAGGAGATATAGCTTAGAACCTCTGAGTCACAAAAGTACATGTTAACTCCATTGTTTATTACATTTCACAAATACACGTAGTAACTGCTTTAACCATTGACGTTTGACAATCAGAAGCAGCACAGATTCTTTATGGGCACTAGTTTTATTACACTGTGAGATGAAGCATCAAATATTAGTATCAACAACACCCTAATTCCACATCCTGCTAGTGTATACGTGTACAGCCCAAACAATCTAACTGACCAACTTCAATCCAAGTCCATATCACAAGGAAGATTCAGTGTAAACTGTACATCCTCTTCACATGTGATTCTAAAATTCTTGTATTTAAGTCACCGTACATG